CCTTCGCGACTACGCGATGGGCAGCATCGAGAGGGACGGTGTTGCCATGGTGCGAGTCCCCGTGTTTTTTCGTGGAGAATATTCGTACAATTTCTATAGGGGCCATCGGATGTCGCTTTTTCGGGGGGTTCCTTCGTCCAAGGGGGGGATCTGTAGTATCTTGCTTTCTCTTTGAGCCCGCCTTATCTATTAAAATGCCTTTCGCCTTTGACTAACTTTGGTTTAGACCGGTGCTTGGGGACTGCGGCTCGCGAGCCACATGCGGCTCTTTGGCCCCTTGAGTGTGGCTCTTCCACAAAATACCATGTGCGGGCGCGCACATACAGTGCAATTGAAATTTTGTGGCCCATGCCCGCACATGGTATTTTGTGGAAGAGCCACACTCAAGGGGCCAAAGAGCCGCATGTGGCTCGAGAGCCGCAGTTTGCCAACCACTGGTTTAGACCAAAGTGAGTTGAGAGTGCCTGAGGGCATTTAAATATGTGGACCTGGAGCCCAGAAGAGTCTAGATTTGGGGGTCCTGTCTGGGTGGTCAGAGCCAGGGTCAGGCCCCAGCCCGGAGCAATGCCAGCATTGCAGGTGCGGGTGGTGGAAGAGGAGTGTGCAGGGCAGGCGGTGAGGAGTGGCCAGAGGTGGGAAAAGGGGCGTGTGGGACAGGCAACAAAAGACATCGGAGTGGTGTGCTTTGAGCCTTCCTGACCCCACCCTTAGCCCTTACTACAGTCTAGACATCTCCCTATTTATTTACTTCAAATACTTACAATACTGAAATTGTATTTGTTAGTGTGTTCTTGCCCCTCAATTTGTAAACTGAGGACAGGGGTTGTATCTGTCTGTGTGTGGTCTCAGGCCTAGGAGAGTGTCCGGCAGGTCTCCAGTGAATGCACATTTACGAGTGGTCACGAGCTGAGGGGTGGGAGTGTGGCTATGGCTGAGAAGATAAGGACGGAAAAGTGCCCTTAGGACAGAGCAGGCGTGGGGGGGACTGTCCGGGTCAGCAGCCAGTTTGCATTGAATTGTAGAATGAGTATGGGCTAAAGTAGACAAGAGTAAGATTAACAAGTTCTTCAAAAAATGTGGCTACAAGTGTGGGGAGCTGCACCTAGAGAGGCCATGGCTGGGAAGGACGTCGGGGTAAAGGAATTTTTGAAGACGAGAGATTTTAGCACGTTCACTTGCTGGTTGGAAGGAGCCTGGAGAGGAGATGCTGGGGAGACGGGATAGCAGACAGGATGGTTCCTACGAAGGCGGGGAGGGCGGGAGTGCAGAGCACAGAGGGAGGAAGTAGTCTTTAAAAGTAGGAGGGTACGTCCTGTTTCCTAGAGAGAAGGGGACAATGTGGGAGGACAGGCATGGAAATGTGCTTAAGGGAGTCAAGAGCATTTCTTTCCGGTGGCTTCTGCATTTTTCTGTGAGCTGTCGGGGAGGCCCTTAGCTGAGAGGAAGGGACGTGCATGGTTCTCCCAGCTCTCCAAGGCTGCCCGTCCCAAGGCCTACCACCTCGAAGGCTGCCCCGAAGTGGGAGAAAAGTAACTTTTACAACCCTTGCAGTCCTCCTACCAAAGTGTTCCGGACCTCAGTCTCAGGGAAGGGGGGTTTCCTTGGTGGCTGTCTTGTGCCCTCGGGATAGGCCAGGATTCCTGCTTCTCCACGAGGAGGCAGAAGTTATGGGAAAAGACCGGAGGCCAGCAAATAGCCCCTCCGACCCCTCCCTCCTGGGCGTCGGAACTCCCGCCTCTCCCTCCAGTCACTGTGGATGCAAGTCCCTCTTTCCCTCAGCAGATATTTACTGAGGGCCAGCTTGGTGCCAGGCACTGTTCCGGGTGCAAGAGATAGAAAGAGAAGTGAAAATCTAATAAGTTAGCACTGTGGAGAGCAGCAGGCTCGGGAGTGATGGGGAGAGCTTCGGCAGTTTTTGCTGGAGTCGTCAAGGAAGGCGTCACCAAGGAGGTAGCATTTCAGTAAAGCTCTGCGGGAAGTGGCCCCTGCATTGGGGGAGAGGGTCCCACAGGGAGGGACTAGAAGGGGAGTGTGCTTGGGGTTGCTTGGAGTGTAGGACGAACGGTAAGGAGCCCAGGTGGCCACAGTGGAGTGAGTGACGGAGGAGGGGGAAGGGGGCAGGTCGTGGGGCAGGAGGCAGGTCGTGTGGGCCTGATAGGGCTTCAGAAGGCCCTTGACTTTGCTTTTACTCTGGGGGAAGTGAGGAGCGGCCTTTGAGCAGAGGGATATGATCTGACCTGTGTTTTCTTTGCAGGGGCTGGTCTGTGGGGAAGAGATGGAGGGTGACAGGAGGGAGGCCCAGAGAAGGCCCATGCAGCTCGTCTTTTATTTCTCTTCCTTCCCTCTAAAGCACAGAGATTGTTGTGAAGACTGCCAGGCAACGGAGCGCGGGGTGGCCTCAAGGATCCTCTGTGGACTGTCTTGGGCTGCGCCGGGACAGAGCACACGAGAACCACGTGGGACAAAGTCTAAGTAAGAAGTGGTCCGTCACGAGCCTCCCATGCTGGCCAGCCCGCTGCACCGTCATCTGAAGCACCCGTACCCACCGCCCTACGGCTTCCGGGTACTAAACAGACTGCCTCACTGCGTGTTGAATGGTTATGTAGTTCCGTTTGCTTTTTTAAATTTGTTGTTGTTTTGTTACTGTTTGGGTGCCTCTGCTGACCTTGTTCCGGACAGCTTGAATGTACCCCCGGGGCTGCCCTGACGCTAAGGCGGCCTCTGTTTGAGAGGATGGCCCCCCTCTTTGTGAAAACAAGATGTTGTTTCCTGGAAATAAAATGTAAAACTTAACAGTTGCTCGGCTGGGCTTTGGTGTATTTATCTTCCTTCCCTTCCGGCTCCCAGACAGTCTCACAGGTAAACACTGGCAGCTCATAAATTGCAACCAAGAAAGCGACTGTATCAGATGATAGACTCGGTGAATGTCAGCCCAAGGAGCCAGGCCCAAGGTCATGGCCATCGCAGATGGGCTCTGGGAAGCCCGGACTGTTGCGTTTCCTTTTCCTTCCAGAGCTGGGGCCCTGCTTCCCTGGCTTCAGGACGGGGTGGCTTCCCTTCTTCAGCTGGGGTTGGGAGGTAGTTTCCGAGTCTGTTTTATTGTGTCAGAAAACACGGGTAATGCTTTTATGTGTGTGCGTTTAAAAAAAATGTAGAAGTCATCTCTCTTGCTACCTCCTAAGCAGAAAGAAAACTAGTTTGAAATTTGGGAGCTAGAAGCTTGGGAAAACCTGTGGTATCCTTGGTTACCAGTGATGAGAATGAGGGACAATACAGGAAGTTGAAGAGTAGTCGTTAGAAGCAAGGAGCTATTAGTAGTATTGTGAATTGCATTGTGTCAGGCAGCGATTTGCTTCTGGGTGGAAAGGGATTTCTCCTTTACCGTTTTATGCCTACCTGGAGAATCGTTCTTTGTAGTTTTCATAAAGGATTGGAAGCTATTGACTGGACAATTTTTTAGGCTGGTAGGTTTTCTCCTTTGTTGAGTATACTGTGGATTGGGATGCTGGAGTCCCTCGTCTTCAATTCCGCCTGTCTCGCCGTTTGTACTGATTGATTACTGGTTTAGTCAAGGAAGAAGTAAATAAACATAGAAAACAATACTACAAAAATATCCATCATAACCACATTGTAAAAATTCTGGAGAAACAGGGAAGAGAAAGAAAGATTATTACCATCTTGATGTGATAGTCTCCTATTTATCCTATGCATGTATTTTGTTTATGTGATTGCATGGGCATTTATAAATGTTGACTTATTCTTTTTTTAATTGATTTTAGAGAGAGGAAGGGAGAGAGAAAAAAACATCAATGTGAGAGAGAAACATTAATCAGTTGCCTCCTGTTGGGGATTGAACCCGAAACTTGGGTATGT